CCACAACTAGAGAAAGCCCGCGCACAGCAACGAAGACCCAACGCAGCCAAAAGTAAATAAATAAATTTTAAAAAAAGATTAATACGAGTTTACAAGAGAAAAGGACTAGAAGTGTTAAGCACAGTGTTTGCCTCGTAACAAACCTTCAGTAGTTGCTAGCCGCCATTACTTTAATATTACACCACCAGTTCGCCAAGCTCCGGCGTCCCCTGGCTGGCTGCTCCCTTCGGAAACCCTTGTGGTGGTTCTGAGTTAGCGGTGGTTGGGAAGTCTGCAATCCCATCCCCTCCGGCCGGGCTCCATGCGCTCCCTCGGCCACGCGGTGGCGCTAGAGGGTCATCTCCCGCCTGGGAGCGGCGCACCGCCCCCCACCCCCTCCTCCTTGTAGCCGGGCCTCCTAAGATCAACACAAAACACAACTGTGCCCATTTTCCAGAAGTGGGTATTGAGCCCCAGACTGCGGGCGCAGGGCCGGGCGGCCAGAGAGGAGCCATCCAGACCGGGCGTCCCCCTCGGCGCCCCGCGGGGTGGGGTGCTCGCGGGCTCGGCCAGCTCGCACGTCCACCGCACTCCCCGCCTCCGAGCGGGCGTGGGTCCCTCGGGGTTCCCGAGGCGCGGCTGTACCCAGGAGGGGATAAGGACCAGTCGAAGCCTCCCACGGAGGAGGGCCGGCTCCTGCGGGCCCCACGCGGACCAGCCTTTGGGGGCTCCCGGGAAGGGGCTCAACACGCAGACCCTGGCGGCCTTAGCGTGGTCGTGCAGAGAGGACCTGGCCTCGGGCCGCGTCCTTTATCTCCTCCAGCCTGGGTCCTGAGCCCCACTCCTGACCCTCAGGCCGTCCTTAGCGTCCCTGCTAGGAAAACTGTCGTTGCAGCCTGGGGAATGTGAGCCTGCCAGGTCTTTCCCTCCCTGGTGTAGTCAAGTTCTCATTATTATTCACTGTCTCCCCCTCATCCTTTCATTCCAGACCTGGCTTTTTCTTAATTTGAAAATTATTTTAAAGTACCTACCTTTTAATGCTGAATTTGTTCACCTTGATGTCTTCAGGGTTAGAGGCACTCAGTCTCTTGAGATACGTGTCTGCACAGGACTAAGACTTTCTGTTCTCCCCAAAGAACAAAGCTTGGCTTTCAGCCCCCCCACAGACTAGCTGTGTGGCTGAGGTGAGTTCCACCTGGTCCGTTCTCTCCCTGTGAGGATAATTGAGCTCTAATTACTTCTCCAGCTCTGATCTCTGGAGAGGGGCAGTGAGAGGCAGCGGTGACTCAGGCGGAGGAGGATGAGGTCTCTTGGTGCTACTGTCAGACGCTTGTCACTCCCACTGACTTCCAGGCCTGCCCACCCAGGGTCAGGCCCTGGTGCTTCACCATTCCTTTGCCTGCACACCCACTTTGGTGGAGGAGGTGGCCATGCCCCTCTGTTTTTGTTTCAGGTCCCAGAACACCATGGAGGGAAGGTCTTTCATCAGATGCTTCCTTCCAGTTAAGAAAGTTGGGCTTATGGGATGTCATGGAGACCTGAGAGCATCCAGTAGACTTAACTCCATGTGCCAGACCTTGTACAGCTGGACAAATTGGGGCCCAGAGGGGGGAAGGGGCTCGTCCAACTCAGTTCGCAGAGCTAGGGCTGGGAGCCAGGGTTCTCAGCTCCTTCCTCTGCCCTCTGGCTGCAAAGGAGAGCTGGCAATCTGGCTTGTCTTCTCCTGTTGAACTTGTGGGAGTTGCCATCTTTAAGAAATCCATTAAAGAAGTTAGATTTGTGCCCACCCGCTCAGCCAGCTTTGTTGTCTGGCTTGTCTTCAGCCTGGAAATCTCCCCTGGTCAGCTTGTTCCTTACTCCAGCCAACTGAGGAAACAGACTCCAGCCTAAAGAGGCTGGCAGCCTGCCAGTGTCCACCACCTGGTTATGTATGTGTGTATCGGGCAGAGTGTGTCCCTAGGAGCCCCAGGAAATTCAATGACTGGTCATTGAGTTCGTGTTGTTCGTGGTAGCTGCCCAGGTGTGGCCAGAATAGGACCTCATCTCAAGGCCCTCAGCTGGGTCTCTTTACTCCATCCATCCTCAGCTTCCTGCCCAGCTCAGCATTTTCTGTTCATGGAAACTCCCTAAGGGAGGGGACTCTAATATTCTAATCTTCTGGGGACCATCAGTTGATATATCAACTTGTTGGGAAGCCCTGAAGAAAATGAAGGGTATGTTTTAAAGATAGAGATTTGGCCTGGAACTAGAAAGGTCAAGAAGAGTCTTTCCGTATTTCCACCTGTTTTATACAACTGGCTTTTATACAACTCTGACAACTGGCTTTCTCACTTCTATATATTTCCAACTCATAACAGGGCTTGCATATAGCTTTGGCTTGCCGTGGCCTTAATTCAAACTCGTGGCATCCGTATTTTTTCAGTTCCACTGGTAAATTCTCTCCATATTTCTTGGCTCAAATTCCCAGTCCATGGCCAGCCTAGGGATTGGCTGCCCTTGGATCACATGTCCACTCTAGACCAGTCAGCTGTGTGATGGTAGGTCACCTGATTCAAAACATAGCCACCTAAGGAGCACAGTCTACAGGGGAGAGGTTGGAGGTATTCAGAATCTTGAGTTACCTAAGATGGGAACTCAGAGTTATGGATTACCTTAGTCACTGATAAAGAATCGGGCATGAATCACATGGGAGTATTAAACAAAAAAGATTTTATCAATATCCCTGGGTGAAATGAAGGGCACAGCATGAGCCTGTGTTCACAGTGCAACAGAGACCTTCAAAGACTAGCCTGCACAGACTCCCAGCCCTGCCTATCTCACCACCTGGAGATGCCACGGTTTCAGGGACACACAGCTTGGCACCTGGGTTGGTCCCTCCCACATGGACCACGTGAAGTCGTTATTCAAGAGGACTTTGTGTAGTCTGAGGCAAAACACAGAACTAAATTAGCGACTCTAAGCCCCCACATGGGAGATATCTCCCTGGAACATTTGGGCCTGTCACACATTCTTGGAGGGAGCAGCAACACAGCTGCAGCCACAGCTGCCAGGAACACGCCCCGGGCTCCCACCCTGTGTGCTGGGGGGAGGGCAGAGGCTGGAGGGCTTCCTCCGGGGGCCCTGAGTGAGCTCACCCTCACCCCCACGCTCACTGACTTCATCCTCCAAGGCTGCTTGGCCAACAGCCCAGGCGGTGTGAGGGGCTTTTCTCCCAGAACAGGCCCTGGGCCACCAGGCTGAGTGGGGGATGGGTGAGTCCCACGCCTAGCCCAGCTCCCTAGAAACCAAGGTGGTGCTGGGGGGCATATTGAACTCTGAAATGCCAGAGGATTTTAAGAAAAAAGGGAGGGTGGTGGGTGGGCAAGGGGTGGTGGAAGGTAGAAAAATGCAAGGAAGTAAAGCTTTTTTCTCCATTTGTTCTTTGGCAATCCCACCAGAGAATTCCAGGAGGCGTGCAGATGACATCATGGCTTACAACGGAGAAATCTCAGTAAGTCTGTGAAATGGAGCCCCTGCCTACCCCGTGTTTCCGATGGAAGCTGCTTTATATTTATGTGTTTAAAGCTGTATCTTGTGTCACATTTAATGAGGGTTTAATATTCTTAAATATCTACCAAAAGTAGATTACAATGCATGAAGGTCACATAAAATGAACTTCATTTTCTCAGCATCACAAACATTTGGAATACAGAAAGTCCAGGGATGGATATTATAAGTAAGAAAGGTACAAAAGGAGTTTGCTTAAAAAATTTTTTTAAAGTTTAAAAATTGATTTTCCCTCCCAGAGTCCAAATAATTGTAGTCTAGGGAACCATCAAGGTAAAGGCTTCATATGCTCATTTCTTTGGTAAGAATGAATTCATGCAGAACTGTAAAACTGAGTGTGTGCTCAAGAGACTCATAGCATCACACAAGCAAGCACATACACCCACAGGGACAGACACACAGCTGAGTTTTTGTTGTTCTAGGCACTTCAAATCCAAGTTCTTAAGTCTGCCACCTTCCCATTACATTGGACAAATTACTTCTTTGGAGGCAGGACATTTTCTTCAAAGAAGCCCTGGTTGACGACATTCCCTGCTGGGAAGTACCTAGCCACCACGAAGGAGGACCCATCACTTGCAGATGCCTTCCCCACTCCCATCTTCTTTGTATTCTTCCATACCATGGCAGTGAAATGTCCTGTAGGGGAGCAGTCATGGGGAGAGGGAAACAGATTAGTTAGCAAAGCCTGGAGAATGATGTTTCAAGGGACTCTTGAACCCCTGTGCCATCTTGCCATGCTGTGAGAGGCTTGATCTTCAGCCACCAATCAGAGGAAGGAGACACAAAACACTGACCAATTTTCTAATGCATCAGGTCCTCTCAGTCGGCCACAAAGACCCTACTCATCTCACTCTCTGATGCCCAAAGATTTCATGGTCTCCCAGAGATCATGGCAAAGCCCAGAGACCCCAACAATTAGGATGCCACCCTACCTGGCACCTGCTTCCACCCCTCCCCCCAAACTGTGCTCTTCAAGGTCACCAATGATCTCCATGTTCCTCCCCAATGGTCACCTTTTGTCTTCATCTTACTTGACATCTCAGGAACATTAATGGAGTCGACTCTTCCGCTTTTCAAAAGACTCTCCTCTTGCGGTTTCCTCTCTTGGCATCCCTGTCATGTCACTGCCCCTTCCTCTTCCTCCTCTATCTCACGTGTGAGTATTGGAGGACCCGCATTTCCCAAGGCTCAATCCTGGGCTCTCTTATCTTTTCTTTTTGCACTCTTCAGGCAATTTCATCTTTCCCTGGCTCCCAAATTTCTTTCTCCAGCCCAAATCTCTCCTCTGTGTTCCAAACACAGCTACTTACTTGACATTTCCACTTGGATGACTCACAGACATCTCAAATTTAACCTGCCCAAACCTCACTCTTGATTTTGGTCCCTCCCATTTCCATGTCTGGTATCTCTGTGCACAAAATCGTCAGGGTGGCTCTGTATTCCTCCCTCCCGCTCATTTCCCCACAACAACCCATCATTCAATCCTGAAGAATCGGAAGGGTGAGCTGTGACAAAGTGAGAGAGTGGCATGGACATATATATACACTACCAAACGTAAAATAGATAGCTAATGGGAAGCAGTCGCATGGCACAGGGATATCGGCTCGGTGCTTTATGACCGCCTGGAGGGGTGGGATAGGGAGGGTGGGAGGGAGGGAGACGCAAGAGGGAAGAGATATGGGGATATATGTATATGTATAACTGATTCACTTTGTTATAAAGCAGAAACTAACACACGATTGTAAAGCAATTATACTCCAATAAAGATGTTAAAAAAAAAAATCCTGAAGAATCTAACTCCAAAATACATCTCTAGTCCATCCACTCCCCAAACTGTGGTCTCAACCTCAAACTATTCTCACTTGGGACCACTGCAACAACCTTCGCCTGGCTCTCCAGCATCCACCCTTGCCGCCTCAATTCACTTTCCACTGACATAGCCAGAGTGATCATTTTGAGACATAAGTCATATCTGTTTACTTCTCTGCTTAAAAATCCTTCCATTGTTTCTAGTCGTACCTAAAATGAGAGTGAATGCTTTGCCCCAGTGGCCTCGATTCCATTCCTTGAATACATCCGGTTATTTCCGACTATAAAGCCTTTGCACACACTGGCTGCTGTATGCAACGCTCTTCTGATGACCAGCGTTTTCTTGTCCCTTAGGTGTCAGCCCAAATGTCACTTTTTCAGGGGCTTCCCTGGTGGCGCAGTGGTTGAGAGTCCGCCTGCCGATGCAGGGGACACGGTTTCGTGCCCCGGTCCGGGAAGATCCCACATGCCGCAGAGCGGCTGGGCCCATGAGCCATGGCCGCCGAGCCTACGCTTCCGGAGCCTGTGCTCCGCAACGGGAGAGGCCACAACAGTGAGAGGCCCGCGTACCGCAAAAAAAAAAAAGTCACTTTTTCAGAGAGGCCTTTCACAGTCACTCTTATTTCCTGAACACCTCCCTCCCCAGAGTCTTATTGCTCCATTTTCCCCCTCATATCATTCTTACCATTTGCAGTGATATATTTGATTATTTGCTAATTGTTTGGCTCCTTCACTAGGCCATGAGCCCCACATGGGCAGGAACCAAATTGGTTTATTCATCAAAGTACACGCAGTGCCCTGGCACAGCCTGACACATGGAAAATGTAAAATAAACCTTTTTTGAATGAATGAGTGAATGAATGAAAAGCATATGGAAGAACCATCTTGGACTAAGTTCTGCCACCACTGGAAATGCAGGCTTTCTACAGTTTGAGCTCTTTGAGACCTTGACAAGTTAGAGCCTCCTTCAGTTCCCTCTGCTCTGAGCCAAATAGCCCAGCTCCTTCTCAAGCTACTGCCTGCCCCTCCAGGTGCTTCTGTGGCTTGCCAAAGCTTCCCAGCATCATTCTCTCACTGTTCAGGCTGCCTGCCCCTCACTCACTGGTATTTTCAAACTGCTAACATAGCTTAGCTTCTAACTCCCCTCCTGCTTTGGGGTCAAAGAGCTGATGCTGTAACATACTCTTTGCTCAATGACCATAAATTCTGGTCTCCTGGGAGTAGAGACTGGGAGTTCATCCTTTGTACCTTTCTCATAGAGGTCCTTTGACAGGTCAATGGGATATTTACTGCCATGTCACAGAATGGCATTCATTTTCGAAAACAACCCCAAAGAGATAATATTTCCTCTTTGAGAGAAGGCACCATATCTGTCTTATTGACCATTGGGCTTGGCACATAGTAGATGCCCAATTAATATCTGATGAAGAAAGGAAGAGACAGAGGGAAGGAGTAAAATTGTGATCAGAGTAGCTAAGCTTCCAGTGCCTGGTTAGGAAAGAAAGAGGGCAACCGCTTTATACCTATTAAGATGGAAATTATTTAAAAAACAAAACCAAATAACAAATGTTGGTGAGGATGGGGAGAAACTGGATCACTTTTGCTTTGCTGACGGGAATGTAAGATGGTGCACCCACTGTGGGAGACAGTATGGCAGTTCCTAAAATAATTAAATACAGAATTACCGTATAATCCGGTAATTCCACTTCTAGGCATACACCCAAAAGAACTGAAAGCAGAACTCAAATATTTGTACACAAGTGTTCATGGCAATATCATTCACAACAGCCAAAAGAGGGAAAGAAAACAACTGCCCGTCAATAGATGAATGGATAAACAAAATGTTGTATGTATACACAATGGAATATTATTCAGCTTTAAAAAAGAAATAAAATTCCGACATATGCTACAACATGCATGAACCTTGAGGGTATTATGCTAAGTGAAATAAGCCAGACACAAAAGGATAAATATTGTAGGATTCTTACCTATATAGGTAGAATAGTCAAATTCATGGAGGCAGAAAGTAGAATAGTAGTTACCAAGGCTTGGGCTGGGGGTGGTAGGAAAGGATAAGAGTTATTGTTTAATGGGTTTAGAGTTTCAATTTGGGATGATGAGAAAGTTCAGCAGATGGATGGTGGTGATGAGTGCACAACGACATGAATGTACTTAATCCCACTGAACTGTATGCTTAAAAATGGTTAAAATAGTAAATTTATGTTAAGTGTATTTCACCACAAAAGAAAGAAAGAAAGAAAGAAAGAAAGAAAGGGAAAGAAAGAGAAAGAAAGAGGAAGAAAGGAAGGAAGGAAAGAGACAGGCTGGTACCCACACTCTTCCATTCAGGGAAGAGACAGAGTTGATATTTCCCATTGTGTCTTGTATTTGGTAAGGACTAAATAAACTTTCATTAATTAAATTGTGTTTTTCCCCCTATAAATGAATTCCATTTTTATAATTTTGAAATTTAGGTATAGTTTATTTCTTTGTCTACATCCCTAAGAGATTTGAGGTTACTAAATTCTTTACGAAAATAAGCAAACATAAACACTAATCAGTAGGGTTGATGTGATACAATCAAAGCAAGAATTAAAAGAAAACAAACACTAAGTACAATTATGCATCCTGACCACTTATCCTTAAGCTCATGTTAACTGCTGCTCAACACACTTTGATTCTCACCTCAGAAAAGAAGAAACACTACTTTCCAATTCACCCTTGGTCCTTACACTTTTTTTTTTTTTGGTCCTTACACTTTTGAGTCACATCTCTTTCCCATCTCCAGGCTGTCAGCAGCTTTGCCAGGTGTCACTGCTTCTATAGACTGTCTTGTCTTTTCTTCTTCTTTTCTCTTTTGTTTTTTTCAATTTGGCCACGCCATGAGGCATGTGGGATCTTAGTTCCACAACCAGGGACTGAACCCAAGGCCCCTGCACTGGAAGCAGGGAGTCTTAACCACTGGACTGCCAGAGAAGTCCCTTACACTGTCTTTTCATTAAGGCTCATGCCCTTTTTCATACAAGGCTTTTCTCCAAGAGACCACATGCTTTGGCCACTGACCCACCCGCTCTCTGTCACCCAGACAAGGAAGAGCTGCCATTTATCCACTGGTTGCCAAGAAAATAATTACAGACACCACATGCGCACCAGCAGTGTGAATGCCCGTGGAAGCCTATTCCAAATAGATGAGACTAAGTAATCTTTCTTCTGACTGGAGAGGCTTCTGTCTGCACAGAGATAATTAAGCCTGGGTATTTAGAGATGAATTAAAGGACACAACTTCCTTAGCAACCATCAGATACACACTGGTTTCTAACCCTAAACTACTAACAGCTTCCTTCTTTTTCTTTATTTTTCCTAAAGGGATCACATCCTCTTTCCTGCTTATGGACACAAACTTCCTAGAATATGCATTTGAAGAAGAAGCTGAATAAGTTACAGTACATCCTTGCAAGAGAATAATGCGTAAGAAAGAGAAATCTCTTGCTGTGTTGATATGGAACAGTCTCTGCCAAGCTGCTGTGTGAACAAAGCAAGTGCAAAACAGATCATCTAGCTGACACCAGAGTATAAAGAAGGGAAAAGAGAGCATTTACACAACTGCTGGTTCAGAACATCTCTAGAATGATACACAAGAAACTGGTATTACTGGTTGGGAGGGAAAGCGCTGGAGGCCAGGGACGGAAGGAAGACTTTCCACCTTATACAGCTTGCAAATTTCATGTCATATAAAAGTATTATTTATTCAGAATAAACAAAGCCTACTCATTAAAAGAAAACATAAAGGGACGGCAAGAAGCTATTTTTCTCCGCTCAGCACAAAGCATGGAACAGTGTCCTTCATCACAAGACTTTGACCCAGGTGGGGTGGGGTAGGGACAGATAATAGGATATTTCGAAGGCCTTTGCACCTACAACATGGACTCAGGTCAGGGAACCCCTGAACCATGGTGCAGCAAGAAGCTGCTCTGCGGGAGGCTGACTCATGGGGGATGGGCCTGAGCATCTTTAAGGGTCTTGCGAGCCCCGCTTATATCACCACCCAAAGCTGTGCTCCTGTCTGAGGATCAGGCTCTGTGTGACCCAGGCATTGTCCACTGGCACCTGGAATGGCATAGGGGCTGGAGGCTCTGGGGTTTTCCTCTTTAGGGCTGGGAGATGTGGGGCAACAGACAGGATCACAGCGGGTCAGTGATCACGGAAAGTTGAGTCCCATCTCCAGCTCTGACACTTGAGAGATTCCCACCTTGGAGCAGGGGCCATGTAAAAAGCATCAGATTGAGGATAGAAGGTAAACAGAAGTCTCTTCCCCTTTGTGGGCCTCAGTTTCTCTTCTGCAAACGGGTGGAATTAAGCCCCACCTTCAAATGGTGTTGCAGGGTTACGTGGCCATGGAGGCAGAGATGCTTTTCACTGTCAAGTGGCGTGCACACACGAGCAACGCCAATCACTTGCTCTGACACATGTCTGATTGCTCAAGAATCTTGCTCAACGGAAAAGGACGTCCAGATGCTGTGAAATAAAACGTCTTCTGGACACTGATCTTTATGAAAAGAAGACCAGGTTCTGCCTACACGTCCTTAATCACTGGTAGGAGGTTGTCACTGTTCCCTCCCTCACCTCTCAAATCTAATTGCCACAGAACCAGCAATTCTCACTCAGGGCCTGACAGTGGCCTCCTTGTCCTGCCCTGCAGGGCAGACGCTTCTACCTCTCCCCACACGACTGCAAGAACCCCTGCCCAAAGGGGTGAGTACAAACCACAGGAAACGGTGACTGGCTCTGAGAACATGTCACTTCCTGCTTCTGAAGAGTCCTCCAGAGGGTAAGAAGCCGTAAGTGGCTCCACCCATGGGTGGGATGGGGTGGGGTAGAGGAATGGGGGGTGGACAGAGAACCCCCTTTTCAGTTTCCCTGGTGCCTTCTGGTCAGAGAAATTCACAGCCCCTTCCAACCCATCCTGGGCCCTGGGTGCATGTGAGTCGGTCCTGAGGAAAGACAGGAGCCTGGTGATTCCTGCTGAGGGGCAGTGGGGAGCCCAGAGCTTGGAGTGGCTGCCCGGGGCTTAGCAAACTAACCATTTACTGCTCACCGGGGAGGCCTATGCAAAGGCTGATGGTCCCATGGTCAGTTCCCTGCATCTAAATACTGGCTCTCAGAACGTCCCATAGAGGCCTCCGCCGTGTCCCTCTCTCTTGGGGACAGGGAAGAACGGGGAGTCGACCCTAGTTCACACAACTAATAGTGCCAGAGCTGAGACTAGCTCTAAGCTTTCTGCATTCCAGGCTCTCCTGAATGACAAACTCGAGTATAAAGGTGAAGGGAGAATGCCTGGGAGGCTGTGAGGAGTGAGGTGCAGAGAGGAGGGAGGGATGTGAGGGTGCTGGGGGAGGAGGGAGCTCAGACCAGGAGAAGAGCCAGCAGCTTGGCCCTTTTCTTGATGGCCCCAGGAAGCCACTGGCAGTTTAATCAGGAGAGCAGCGTGGGCAGAAAGGGTCTTAGAATATTCTGGCTGCTGGGGAGCAGGCTGGAGCAGAAGCGGAATGACTGGTTAAAAGCACTGAGGCATCACTCCTGGAAAGAAACACTCAGCGACCTTTGAAATCCACAGCCTCCTTATACCACACTCCAGTCAGGTGAAGAGCTTTGAGCTGGTGGGACAGGAATCGGCAGCTTGGGTGCTCTTGGATGGAGGGATGTGTGTGTGTGTGTGTGTGTGTGTGTGTGTGTGTGTGTGTGTGTGTGTGTGTGTGTGTGTGTGGGGGGG